TATATTTATTTTTTCTGCAGATTAAAAGCACTCACTAGACCAGATTCCTGATGGATCTCTGCCCCTGTCATTGCACAAGTAGATTTTCATTATGTAGTTAAAGACAAGTAAGTGTTCTTCTTGATAATCAGCTCTATTAGTTTTTCCAGAAAATGGGTGAATTTTTCCCAGGAAATACTTGTCTCTGCAGCAAATTACATATCACTCTCATCAGACAAGGCAAGATACCTAAAGCAGGCCATGCTCAGTTACCTGCACAGGTACAAAATGAAGAGGGGATTAAGAAATCCCCTCTGGCACCACCCCACCAGGGATTACAGACACAATAACCCTGTCCTGCAGTGCCAGGTGCATCGAGCATCTCCCTTCAGCAGGCTGTCCCCACCAAATAGACAGTAAGTAAAGGGAGATCAACACAAACCACAACTTCATTGGGCAAGCCCCACTGTGTGTCCCTCAGGAGCTTCAAACCCTGCAAATTCCACGGAGGAAAGGTCATTCTTCTGCCATGCCTCAAGGACATTTTTCCTAGGAGCAGTTTCCAGGGTGCACATCACCCAGAGCTGGACAGGCCTCTGCTTGCAGTCAGATGTGACAGGTATTGGGGATTTCACATTGTTTTCATACAAAACATTGACAGGTCAAGACGTTTCGCCAGCTTGGTTTTATCTTGGGTTTAAATCAGCTAATCTGCAGGATGAATTATTTGTCTTTTAGCCCAGCCAGACTCTCAGCAACAGGAATTGAAAGAAAGCTTCATCATCACCTGCTGCTCATTAGCATTAGCCCAGGATTAGCAGCAGCAACCTTAGCAGCTTTGCTGGGGGGGTGGGAGTGGGGTGGTGAGTGAAGGACATTTTCATTTTATCATCTCAGCCATTAACATAGGGAATTTTAATAATGTCTATCTCAATAATGAGTCAAAAATAAATATTTTTTAAACCACACTAAGTCAAAACTCCTATTTTTGTACCCAGATTCTCACTTGGACACATGAATATGACAGCAACTTACTCTTGCTAAGAAAGAGTTGTAACCATGTGCACTGTGTTTGGGGGAGTGAGGCCAGAGATGGGAAAGAGAGGTAAAGGGGAGAAAAGCTCCTCTTGACAGGTACCTTCCCAACATGTCTTTCAACATTGCAAAATATCACTCATTTTAATCAGGGAGAAATCAGGAAAGATTACACTGCATATTCATTAAAACATATTCTGAACAAGCCAAGTAGCCTCCTGTCAGTGCTGAGGAATGGCCCCAGCTTGCTGAGGGGAGCTCACTGCTACGTGCTCATCTGATGTTCAGATGTAGGGAGGGAGAGAGGGAACCAATCTTCCTGTCTCTTTTTTCAGTCTCTCTCAACTTGTTTTCCATAAAGAACTTTTGCTTTTTTCTTCTTGCCAAGGTTTGGAGGCAGTGAGCAACTTCTGTTAGGAGCCCCTCGCATCCCCTCTGCCCAGCCCCAGGCATTGCCTGGGGGCAGCCCACAGCGGGATCTGAAACTGAAGGGCGAGGAGGAAGACAACACACTTCTCCTTAAAACAAGCATCACAAATTTCACTCTAAAAGTTTTGACAGTGTTTTTCTCCAAGGGATAAACAGGATTAAATTTGCAGAAGATGCTCTTCAAAACCAGTTTATTTGTTCTCCCCAGCTCAGTTCTGCAGTGAGAGAGTTTTGAGAGGCTCTTTTCCCTTGTACAGCAAAGACTCCTGTCCATAAAGAGACCTTGATCTTGCAGCACTGCTCACATGGGGTACTGTCAAAACCAGCATGCTGCAGATCAGATTCTGTGCAACCCATGAGTTACAGAATAAAAGGCACTTTTCTGACCTGAGAGTTTTGATAAACTTACTGTGCAGTTTATTCTGACAGAAGTGCTTATGCTGCTGACTTTGCCTGTGGCTAGAGCACACACTGAAGATGACATGGGTCATACTCCAACACACAGACGAGAAGTGGGTCAGAACACACACTGCCTGTCCAGCACAGCCCTTGCTGAATAACGTGGGGAAATCTGATTGCATGGACGATTTATCTCACAGTGATGCCTCACCTCTACTAAGCAAAATAAACAAAAAGGCTACTCTTATTTATTTCATGAAGCATCCGGACACATTACAGGTATCAGTCTTTCCTCGATTGTTAAGTCATGATCAAGTTGTTATTGTGTCTTTTGCAGGAAGATGTCTATTACAGAAATGAGACACAACCTGTTGGAAAGCCAGCCCTGACAGGCTCAGCACTTCCCCCTGGCCGCACCCCAAAAGTGCTAGAAACAAAGTAATTAAAGCACTAGAGCACGGGCTGAGTCTGGTTTCCTGGGCGGTGGGGATTATTTTTATTTTACTAACGCATCACGGCCCTGTTTATTTATTGAAGAGATTCACGCCGTGTTCCTGCCGAGCTGCGCCAATCCCCGCACTGAGCTCGGCATTCCCTGCGGAGGACCAGAGGCACAGCAGCCGGGACTGCTCCAGAGCCGGGACGGGACCTGGGCTGCGGAACCGCCCTTGAGGGTGCCTCCTGTCCCTCCTCGCTGCCCCGGGGCTCGGAGCCGGCCGCCGCATCCCCGCCCATGGGACAGCAAGGTGTCCCGCCGGGACCGCCCGGCCCGCCGGGAGCCAGCCCCAGCAAGGCTCCCCCGGGTCCCATCGCCGCCCCGGGAAGGCTCCCCCGGGTCCCATCGCCGCCCCGGGAAGGCTCTCCCGGTCCCCATCGCCCCCCGTCCTGCTCCGCGCCGGGCTGGGGGGCAGCGGCCCGGAGCAGCCGGAGGAGGAGCCGGGCGGGGCTGCCCTCGAACCCCGCTGCACACCCGGCTCCGCTGAGCGAGAGAACCCCCAGCACCTCTGAGCCCACACGGCCCCATGGCTCCCAGCCGGAGGTTTAGGATGTTCTCCGTTTAAAAGGGTGGGGGAAAAGCTCTCCGAGCCGCACTTTACCTTTTCGCGGCAGACTCTGCCCGACCCCGGTGCACCTGCGGGGGTTGTGAGCAGCCTTCTCCCCACCTGGAGTTACACCGTGACAGCCTCTCCTCATCCACCACAGCCTGAACCTGTAACTACGAACTGGGGGGTGGGGAAAGAACCCCAGGAACACCCACATTGCTGTAGGTTACATTTAGAAGGAACACTGGTGTATCCACTCCTCCAATAGGCTCCGTACAGCCAAAACTGTCAGCAGCCCTGGAGCACGGCCAGCAGGCCTGGCAGCAGCACCGAGCACCACAGCCACACAGTCACTCTGCTCACAGCAGCCCCAAAGGAGCTTCATGTAGGAATCAGGCTTTTTCAATGGTTTTTCTAATGCTTTCTTTTCCACAGAAAACTATTCCTGACCTGTGAGCAGAAGTACCACATTCACACCTGCTACACCTGGAGGAATGATGTAAGGGGCCTGTTTTAAAAAATATGTTTTGTTATTATGCTATTATTATTATTCTGTGCCAGTACTAGCAGTTACACAGAACTGAGCTCTTTCAGTCAAAGAAGAGCTTGCACACCTCTTCCCACACAAAACCTAAGTGATCATTAATTTTTGAATTGTACAGGCAAAACACAACCTTGTGTCTACCTCACAGTATGCAGTTAGGAACACATCAACTGTTAAATAATAAATAATTTCAGCCAAACTTAGTAAGCAAAGTATACTCAAGTTTCCCCAACAGTGCTTCATATATCAAAACTATAAGGATAAAAAAAGCCTTGCTGCTTTGCAGTGCTAGGTAATTTTTATTAATTTCATACTACTCCCCTTTCAAAAGGGCTGTTATTCTAGATTTCCAGTTCACTTTTGAGAGAGGATGTGGACAAGTGAACAAGAGGTGTGGGAGTACTAAATCATCAGTGAGGTGCTTTGCATGGGGGCAAAGGCTTGTGCAAGTCACGCTGGTCCCAGGCAGTCAAAGGACACTTGACAAAGCCACAGCCTCAGTTCAGAACCAGGGGCACGAATAGAACTGCAGAAATTCAAGTGCAAGTATTCATCTATTATGAATACTTGCACTGCAAGAATATGATGCAACAAAAACTATGAGGCAGGAAAAAAACAACAAAACCTGAGGCAATTTGAGTGTAATAAAACTTTAAGTCAAAGGAAAATATTTCGCAACAATTTTAATCTCAAGATTCTTCCAATCTGCAAAAGCCCAAATTTGAAGTATGTGTTGTAAGTGGACAAAAAGGCTGACCCTGCAGTTTCAATCAGCAAATGTCTACTGTGTTCCACAAAAACTGATCTGACATTCCTCAATTAGTCAGAAATACTGATAATCTCTTAATAATTTGATTCAGTATTTTTGTCATAGCCGGGACTGGGTCTTTTTTATTACTATGTGAAGACCTGATGGGGTAGAAATCCTGATGATGTAGCTACACAAAAAACAGGTCCAATACAATTCACTTCAAAATAACATTCACAGATGCATATTATACAGCATAAGTGTAAAAAAAGAACTGTGCACATTGAAGTGTTTACTGATTTCAGAGAGAACTACCTGTGTGCAGTCCAAGACAACATTCAACCTTTAATGGTACTGAAATCAAGGTTATGAAGAACAAATGGCAGTCTAACTTCAGACCAGAGATTAGGCTGAAAGATGAATAATCAAAAGAAGATGCAGAGTTTTTCAAGTAATATAAATGGTACCAAAGTGAAGTGAGCCTTACAATTACAATAATTTCAAATGCAAGTCTGCAGAACAGACTCACAATGTAATGACCATTCCATAAACTTCTGTGCATTCAACAAGAAAATACAAGCAAAATGTTTACTAGCACATGGTGGCAGAAGAACAGAACGAAATTTTAGCTTGCAGCTTTGCAATCCTAAAAGTTACATACTTGTGTCACAGTAACAGTCAAGCATACAGATAAATGCAGGTACCTAAACAGCAGAGTTTCTACAAAGTCACCCTCATTTTTTAAGCTGATGCTCTTGATCTTCTAAAAAAGGAACTGCAGCAACTTGATGGACATGGAAATGAAATGGTGCATGTCAGAGACTTAGTGCTTCAACAGATTTTTCATATCAGTGAATCCATCTGGATTCCCAAACTTGTTTAAAAGGAAGAGTAGGACTTGTTTATGTTTTTCAAGCTGTGGAACAAGCAGAAAGAGTTAGAAGTATACAATTCTGGGGTTTATTAAATTGCTGATTTCAGATCAGGGTAGATGCTAATATGACAAACTCAGCTAAATACCATATTAATTCAATAAATAGATTTAGTTCCTTTCTGTTGTAGAATCTTCTGGAGGGGGAAAAAGCTAACAGAACTGTAGCTGATTTCCCCTTGTCCATGTATGTGTCACTCCCCCCCTTTTTCCTCCTGAAGCAGCTTCCTTAAACCAAACTGATTAAGTACTCAAATTAGAGATCAGCATCTTAAATTAGATAACAGAGAAAAGTGCCACTCCTGAGACTTCAAACACTTGAAAAATGAAGTAAGAGGTGTCTGTGGGGCAAAGTACAGACTAATGAAGTCTGAGTGCTCTAAACACCGTCCTCCCTCAGCTTCAGGGTGCTCTAATTATCACCATATATAAAAAAAACCTGAGAACAAGTGTCAGGATACATTTCACTGAACTTCCATGTTTCAGTAGCTATTATTCCCCTTAATCCCATTTGCTTCCTACACAGGGTTTCTTTTGAATTCTGGAAACATAAAAAAGGAAGTACAGCTTGGAGTGAATCTTACTTGCACTTTTAATTCCTTGCAGCAGCAGTTGGTCTCACCTTCATTACCTACAAAAACCAAAGTGAATGAGAAAAATACACACATACATTCCTTTCCTAATTTAGGAGGTGACATCTGGCATTGTCCAGGACTTTTAGAAGGAAAAGTCATTTAGCCACCCCGTGTGCTTACAAGTTCTTCAGAATAAGCAAACTGAAATAATCAAGCCAAAGTATGTACCTTGATGTTCACTATGTGAGTTTTCAGCACTGCAGGATGTGACCAAGCCCTCCTTTAGCAGTTTGTCAGCTACATTCACATAACCATCATCCAAGTGTTTCTCCACTGTTACTAAATTAACATTTCCATTAATCCCTTTCACTGTAATTGTAACATGTTGCTTCAATAATAGTTTTTTCAACTTGTCAAGCACTAATGGAGACCACTCAGCTTTCTCTATTCCTGCAAAAAAAGGAAAATCAAATTTGTTATATAAATAATTCCTTTAAGCTATAACTGGAATCATACATACATGTTTTGGAAAATATGATACTAAATTTTCCTAATATAAGTAGCTTAAATTCTAGACATAATAAACTAAAAACATGTTTTCTAAACCAGCTTTCACCATGCTTACCAATATCCTACTTCAGATCATCATGTTGTTTACCAGTATTACGGAATGAACACTACCACCACAACAGGTAAAAAATTATAATGTTCAAGAAAACCAGTCAGGGGTTTTTGGGGTGGAGTTTTTTGCTTATTTTGGGGAGATTTTTTTACCTGCAAGTGAACATGTAATTGTCTGAAAAGGCAGCTTTAAATAGGTATCGGTGATTGGCAGCACCTTTGAAAGGGGTAAAGTTTCTGTGTTGCCATAGTCTCCATAGAGAACTTTCACTGCAGACTGGGAAGCTTCCAGAACAACAGCTCTGTACCAATTGCCATTACCTGAAAAGATTGGGACAAGAATGGTCACATGTGACGAATCATCTTATAAACACAGATTATCCCAAGAACAAGAAACTGTAGAGTTTTTAAAGAATTTTTAAATACTGTGGTGGATATATAAAAGGCCAACTGACAAGAAGCACAATTAAGAGATCCATAGGCACTTTCAAGTTGGTGGTTTTCCTTTGTCTAAATCAAAAATGAAAGCTGTGTTTTACACTGGCCAAGGAAACAGAAGGACAAACGACTGTCTCACCTGAAAACTGAGCACAACAGGCTTCACCCAGTTTTGGTTGGAAGGGCTGTTTGTTGCAAGATCTACAATAGTCTTCCAGTGAAATCAGCTCCTTAAGGAGCTTCTTTTGATCTACAGGAAAAAACCACATTCACTAACCACATCTGGGTACAATGAAGAGCATACTTAAGCCCCCTGCTCTCACCTTTGACATTTTTTTATATTTTCCTACTGCCCAAGATACATTTCTTCACAGTTCAGTTCACTACACACATTAATTTTATTAATTAGCTTCAACAGTGACCTCCTACTGGTATTGGGAACAATGAACACTTTTCTTACCTTTATTTGGAACTGGTACAGCATAGAACAAGTCTGGGCTTACAACTTCAGTTACACAGACAGACATGGTTTCATCTACAGCCAATTCAATTGACTTCCAGTGCCCAAGTGAGGTTGCTAATAGAAATTGTAAGAGAATGCAGTGTTACCACTGTCCTCCAAGCATACATATATTTTAAGGAACTGTTATTTTATTTGATATTTATAATGATTTTTTGAATTTCAGACACTTCCCTTCAGGAAGACAAATATAAATCAAGATAAATAATGCTTACTTTGCTGTTCATAAACTGTTGGCATATAAAAGAAGCTAAAGTAAAAAACAGCTCAGAAAAAATAAGACCTTGAAAAGCAAACTTGAGAAAAGTTTCAGTCACAGAAAACTTTTAATTCTCTGATTCCTACAGAGTCAAACAACATTCATTTAAGACACAGTGATTTTTAACTTTCTCATTTTGTCTGTAATGCCACCTGCAGGGCAACTGGTGTTCAACTGTAAGAACTGACAATATACCCAAAACTTGCATTGATATTAACTGTAGTTAAACAAGAAAATAACAGCTAACGGCTGGAATACTGAAAATTATTGTTAAATCTAAAAGTTAACATTCCTTTAATTACCTTTTTGGTCAACAGATGTGTTTGGAAAGTTATTTTTATCTTGTAGAACTTCCTTTACAACCAGGTTTTCTGAACTTAGTATCTCATTGATAATTGCTGGACAATCTGTGGAATTATCAGTAAGCATTACACCTGCCCCAGCTTCAGAAAGGGAAGTTACTGTGGCTTGAAGCTCTAAGCCTGAAGTGTACATATGAAATCTTCTTGTAGCTTCTGGATTCCATTTGCTGTTTCCAGGCTTTATACCTGGGAAGTAAGAAATGTTAAAATATCTCCATTCATTATTACTGACTTTCTTCAACATAATGATTTCCTTTAAAAAAAAAAAAAGTACTTTAAAAAATTTCTTTAGAGCATACCCTGAAGTATCAAGGCTACTTTTACTACCCTAGGGCAACACATTGTTCTTCATCCTGTCAACTGTTCTCCCTCTTCCTCCTTTTTTCTAAATTCCCACATTTTCTCAGGAGTCCCAAGTCTCATCTTCTATATTTTATGATTCAACCAAGTAAATCCTTTGCCTCAGCATAAACAACATTATTAAAACTGGTTTTGGATCCGTATAATCAGGCCTTTTCATCAAAGGAGCAGACAAAACCTAAGTGTTTTAATGGTGGGTGTTTAAGGGGGAAACAGCACAAGACACTTGAATAAAATGAGGTTTTGAGCTTTTTCCTTTTTCCACATTTTTCATTTTTTAAACCAAGCAGACTACACCAGAAAGAAAGAGAAGCTCTGCAGAATTTTGAACTGTGTGGAAAAAGAATTTTCAGAATTGAGAAATAGCAGTACAGTGCCAAACTGTTCAGGAATCAAATAAAAGAGAACTGAAAGGCCACCTTGCTTCAGTTAAACAGATTAGCTCCATTGCCTGCAAAAATTTTGACAAATAAAGTTGCACAAAAACACAATTACTCCTAGGAAGGCAACAACCAAAAACCAGTAAGCATTACAGATGAAGCAGAACTAAACAAGCTCCTTTTGAGCAGTAAAGCAGTAAGCAAAGTCCATGCAGATCACTCCAGAGAACTGGCAGGAGCTCAGAGAAGAGAAAGCAAACAAACTCAGAAGAACAGAGTTCTGCACAGTATTCCCTGTCATCACCTCCTTCCCCAAAGCAGCAAGTCTCTAAATGCAAGAGCTCTTGCAAGAAAAAATAAGATTCACCTGAGAGCCAGCATTTAATTGCTTGAAATGGAAGTTTTAGGAATGAGGACGAGATCTGCCGGATATTCTCCCGTGGTACATCCTCAGTGTTTCCATAGTCCACAAAGCTCACTCGAACACTTCCATCTGAAGTGACATTTTGCACCACAGCACGGTACCAGTTACCATCCTCTAATTTCAAAGAAGATTAAAAAAAAATTTAATGATTACTTCACACATTTGCTACCAGCTTTCACTTGTTAGTAAATAAACATAATTCTTTGCTGTCCTCTACTAATGTAAACTACCAGCTAATTTTTCATGTTTACCCTATAAAAAACAAAACTATTTTAGTCTGTTACTTGCCAGAGTAAAAAGCACAGCAAGGGTCTCCACTCTCAGGCTCAAAAACATCTGGTGGTGTTTTCTGACAGTATTCAGACAATGATTTGTTAAGTGAGTTTAGAGCAAGTAACTCTGAAAATTAGAAAGAAAACCAAAGAAAATTAGAAAAAACCCCAAAGATGAGATCAATGAAATGAGCTGACTTGAACTTTATCAATGCTGTTCACTCTACAGTTTACTTGTAAACCTTCAAATGTATTCCTTGACTACGTAAGTCAAGGAACAAACATCCCTCATTTTAAGAGCTGCCCCTATTTTTTGTTTGAATGCCTTTAGCTCCCTCTTCAGCCACTGAATTTTGTCACATTCTTTTTCTAGCATTTAAAACACCAGTGGCTATCAGAAGTCTTTACACAAACTTCTGGTAGAGAAACAAGATTACTTTTTAACTGATCCAATAGGAAGTTGTGTCTCAATGGCTGCTAATTGTGTTGCAATTATTATATCTCTAAGTTTTTCTAAATTACAAGAGTGTACTAGAAGAGAACTCCAGTAAATATTGTCTTGGCACAGGGAACAAGTCTCTTATTTGCTTTTATTAACAGAATCACTAAATCCTGAAGATAGTTTAGTCCAGCATCAACCCAGCACCACACCATAGTCACCTAAGTACCACATCCAGATGCCTCTTGCACACTTCCAGAGACAATGACTCTACCACCTTCCTGGACAACTTATTCCAATGCCTGGCTACTCTTGCAGTGAAAAAAAAAAATTATATCCTTTGGCTAGGTTATGGTAACTCTTTCACTTTCCTCTACTGCTTATCTTCAACATTTTCACATTTCAATACCACGACCTAATTTCTTTGTCACTCCATTTGTATTCTTAGATAAACACCTCAGAGGTAAGCCTTCATGCTGTAAACTTACTTGACATAGTAGCCCATTAGAACTATACTAAATGACAAACCAGGAAGCAAAGAAACTATCAGAAAGAATTAAGCTGAATAAACTTACCATGGCTGTTTGAAATCTGACAGTAGAATTCCCCAGGATTGTACACTGTACATACTATGACATTGAGTGTTTGGTTAAGAGTTAATTTAATCCACTTGCACATTCTTTTGTTTGATGAGTCCTCTAGAAAGGACAAAAAAAACACAGAATGAAAAGAAATTAAAGTAACTTTTACAGGAAAAAAAGGAACATAGCATGCTTCATAAGAGAAGCCAGGAATCTTCCCCAAGATTTCAAAGAAATTCAACGTAACTTAAGTAAAAATCTCTTGCATTGAAGCTTTGGTCACTAAATCCAACAGGACAATTTAAGCATAGACTTGAAGATTTATAAGCTACTACAGTCAAATTTTCAAGGACTAAGTATGTGGGTTTATGCATAAAATACAGGACAATGAAGATCACAATAGAGCAAATATTATTTGCACTAATGGATTAGGGCATAAGAACAAGCAGGTAGTAACTAGTCACAGCCTACTTCAACTGGAAATTTTAAGACTTATAACAAGAGTAAGTACCAACTTCCAAAAGCAGGCAGTTACAACTTTGTTAAGCATGCACACCTGGACACACACAGACACACAATTCTTTACTGTTAAGATGCCATGGCTGAACTTTGGACTTGTGAAAGCCAGACTTGATGAGCCAGACTGAAAAGCTCTTAGAGATAAGAGCTTGCATTCTCTGCACCCACTCTAGTAAGAGGTAAACAGGAGGCAAACAATGCCAGGGCAGCAAGATGTGCTCACACTCACCCTTGGCTTGCTCAACATCACTCCCTCTGGCTGCTGGTAAGGCCATGCTCAGTTCCTCAGCTGCAAAGCCCTCCTCGATGAGAAGGCTTGATACATTTATTACTGGAGTACCTGATGCATCTGTAAGCTCCACCACGGATTTAGAACTCTCTTTATCCACTACTTTTACTATCAACACTTTGTCTTTCACCAGTTTTTTCATGTAAGAAATACCTTCTGAGGTCCATGCTCCTAATGGTGGCTTTACACCTAAAAAATCACATAGCATGGAAAGGTTCTGAGGTCAGTCCAATTCTCACCAATGTGTGGACAGGTACAACAACTGCAAGTACATTCTGAAATATTTGCCACATTTTGTAGATATGCCATGACAGTTAAGAATTCTGGAAATAATGCCTACCATTACCTCCATCCTTCCCCATGTTTCAACCTGAGATGCTACAGGTGTGTTGGTTATGTAATACCACTTGTTCTCCCTGTATCTAGTTTGAAACTGCTAATCATTTACTTCATACCTGCCAGGCTACATCTTATGGCTTGAGCTGGCAAGTCCATTAAGCTTGGAATTATAGGACGAAGTCTGGTCAGTGGAAGAGAGTCAGAATTACCATAATCCATATAGTCCACCAAAACAGTGTCTTCAGAAGCATAAGCTGTAACAGCAGCACGATACCAAAGGTTGTCTTCTACAAAGGAAGACAGAGATGTAATGTCTGAGAACAGAATGATTTTTTTTGACAGACCAATATAAAAATACATCAATTTCAGTACAGCTCAGGACTATCAGGTGTTGGCTAAAGTAGCATTTTGAGAAGAAGTCCATCAGAGTGGCATCATTCCATACAATCCCATTTCTTCTGTGCTTTTTTTGGGGACTGAAACTTTAAAGATATACTTACCTTAACCCTGGGGAAACAGTACTTAGCAACATAAAAAACCCAAACTTTCCATGATCTCTTAATAAACTATTCTAAATAATCTGAATCCAGTGTTAACAGTTTGCTCAATAAAGGGACATTTTAAAGTTGGTATTTTACAGATACTATTTTTCAAATTACTACCTAGCATTACCCACAGCTAAAAATCAGAGATAAATAAATTCTATATAAAACATTTCTAAACACAATTACAAAATGTATCTTTTTGATAACAAATTTAAGTGACATAACTTAGTATTTTGACTCCATTTTTACCTGTGAACTGGGCACAGCACACGTTGCCAGCAGCAGGACGGAAAGATGGACTACTGGGAATTTTGCCACAGTATTCATTAAGAGATACTTCAAGCTCAGCAAGTTGACCTGATGTTAAAATACATAGGTTTTGGAACATGGTCTGTCTTGCAATTACTACAAAATAATTAAGCTCAAAGCCTGGAAGAACATCTTGTAGTCTAATAGAGAGAATTTCAAATGTTTAACATTGATCAGACTAGGATTCTTCAATCATTAACATCCAAGGGAGTCCTCATGTGTGTCTGAGGAATCACAGCAGGGAACGGACAGAGAAAACCAGTGACAGATTTTTTCAGCAAAGGGACAAAGCTGAAGCCAGTGCAAATTGAAAGCAAGCTAGTGGAGGCATGCCAAGAAGAAACCAAGGAAGACAGCTCTTCCAACAACAGGCAGATGATGAGGCAGTTCACTTCTTCCCAAAGGACACACTTTGCTATTAATTACCCAGAATTAAAAGGCTGCACATGGACACAGAAGAAAAATTCACCTTCCTCCAGCCACGCCCTACGAAAGAGAAAAATGCCATACCAGGCACTCTACATCCCATTTCCAACCCATCACTTACGGGCACTTTGCATCCGCTGACAAAAAAAGGTGTCTGGATTTTGAATGTGAGAAACCACACCAGAAAATTCATCTCCAATACTTAAAGAGACAAACTTGGTAATCGAATTAACACAGTGAGAAGAGTCTTCATCCTCAAGTATGGTTTTTTCACCTCCCTTTGAATGGTTTTCTGATACTGCACATAAAAAAGAAAAAAGGTTGCCCATCAAAAGCTAGCTGACTTTGAAAATATAAACATACTGAAATAGTTTATTCTTTTTATTGATACTTTGGACTTTGAAGGCTCCTGTCACATTATGAAATTAATGCTCACATAATAATCACTATACAAATGTTTTATACTATTAAAATCTCTATGAGCTAATGTGAGCAGGGACTTGAAGCTCCATTAGCCAACATTTTTAAGTTTGAGGTGATGCTAGTGAGCAGCTAGAATATCATGCAGCACAGGAGCACCTAAAACTCCCCAAGTTTAGTTTGGTTTGCTCGCTTACCTCCTGGAGAGTCTACTTTGGCATCACTTCCTGAAGTTAAATGAGACTTCATTTCTAAAGGAACTTTATCTAGGCAGTCTTCTAGAATACAGATACAAGAATAAATGATTTATCACACAAAATAGCCATCAGCTTGTTTCACTTCAGAACCATCCTCTGAGCCAGATCTGTATTCTTATCACAGGGAGAGCATGTTCTACTTATTTGTTCAGCACTTAACATTTAAAATGCAAAACAAAGGTAATTCAGAGTAGCTCAGCTACTTGAGTTCTCTGAGCACATTCACAGCTCCAACTGTCTGACTTCATAAAATGAGCAAAGCAGTAACAATCAACATTTACTTGCAGTCACTAAAAACTGTGAGCTAAAAAACTCATTACTGCTTTTTAGACACCAGGATTCATAACTTACCTCATTATTTACAACACTGAGTATGTAATGATTTAGTCAAGATGTCTTTGTAAATCTTGGTTTCTCACCTGTTATATACTCCATTTCTGATGCATGAAGCAGCATTCCAAACTTTCAATACCATTACTTTCAAATTAAAACCTCAATACAGGTGTTTCAGCTGCTTATAAAGTCTGGAATGAATGCATGGAACATTTCAAGAATGCAGTGACATTTATGTGATCTTTTCTCCAAAAGGTTGGCAGGTTACACATCACTTCACCTCTAGTGTGCTGTGAAGCTCCCAAATGTGAAATATGCCCAGCACAATCCTTAATCAGTTGAATTTACAGGGGACTAAAGAGAACCATCCTTTGACAGACTGCACAGTATTACATGGAGATAAGCTTCCTGCACATGAGCAAGTCTAGCAAGCTAGGAGCACCAACCATCACATCTCTGAATGTTTCTGTGGAATGCAGATCAACTTAATGAATATGGTCTTGGCACTACATTGTTCCTGCTCTGCAGCCAGAGGAAAATCTAAACAATAGTCTTGCACATGACAAAAGGTACACCTTGCATGTATTGATCTGCTTTGACAATCAAACCCAGCTCAACTGAAAATCAGAATTCTTACTCCTCAAAGGTCTTGTGCTTGGCTTGTCTCTCATTGAAGCTTGCAAAGACAGAAATATAAATATGCTTATAGAGTTCTCCAACTGGCTACAGCAGTATCCAATGATTGTTCTTTGTCTGGAATACTTAGTGAGCATGTATGAAATATCATGAAAGCTGGTAAAATCCTGCATGGAACTAGAAATTGACACTGTAATTTTTAAAGAGTTAAAAATGCATGAGGAAAGAAACAAAATTGTACCAAATTTTCATGCATCTATTAAAACAGAAAAATAAACAAGATGATCCAGAACACAGTGAAGTTAATACAATTCTACTGGAAAAGTAACCTTACTAAAATTTAAGGTTATTAAGCTTAGCAAGGTATTTCAGGCACTGACATTTTATGGAAAGGTGAAATAAAGTAGAAGTGAAAAAAAAAGTCAAGGGAGAGGTTGGGAAAATGACAAGAGAGAGGAGGGCAAAAGAAATAGAGGGGTTATCTTTTACAGGTGTTAGGGAGGGGTGTGAACAGAAAAGCCTTAATTATGGTGAGTTTTTTTACCCACACAACCAAGCACTCACCAGAATCTGGAAGTACAACATCTACAGCAAAACTCAACCTCACTTCCTCCTGCAATATATCAACACCAGTTAGTGAATACTGCTTTCCTATGAGCTGAAAAAAAAAGCTGGCAATGCCTTTATTCCATCCTTTTCCTTTTGGATCAAAATGGGCAAAGAAACACTTAATGGCCTGGAAATATTATAATTAGAACAAGAGGGGATTATTTCCCCCTATCTAAGTGACTAAATAATTAAGGCCTTCAGTAATATCACCTTGCACATTAAAGCTGCTGTTGGGGCTTCAATTCAACTAACTTCTGCACTCTCTTCTAAAGCACTGGGAAATTAAGGCAAAAATAAAGAATCCCCAGAAGTTGAATTACCCTATTTAAAACAGGTACAAGTTATGTTTAATATGAAGCTATTCAGCTGTAGCTCCTTGTAGTAACAAAGTTCAAGAAACACTGCAGAGATATACTGAACATCAATGAAGAACAAGTGCTGAAGACTCACACATTCACCTCCTCACTCCTGTCTTACAGGACAACTCAGCTAAAATTCCCACTTATGATGCTCTCATAAATAAGAATCTAATTCCACTTGCTTCCTCATAACCTTAACACCTCAGAGTTGATTAGAACTCCTGTTTTATCTGCTGGCATCCATTTTTTAAAAGTCTAATAATTTAATGTAAGCCACCTTAATACCCTTCAACATGTAATCTCTTACTTCTGCAGAATTCATGAGAGCTTCAGAAGGTGAACAAGATAACAAAACCCCATCTGCTCTTTGAAAATCAAGTGATTGCAAATTTTTGATTCATATTGTACAACCATTTGGTATAAAGGGCCCTCATCATCAGTTGATCAGTTTCATTAGAACCCAGCCACAAGCACACACACTACAGGAACTAACAGCATGAGCTAACAGAAGTCTCATGACATGAAGCCTCCTTTCCACATTCCTTCAAAAAGCTAAACAGATGAATAAGCTACTTCAAAGAAGTACATGACAAAGGAGTTCTGCAGTGCAAGCAAGAGGCTAGCTGGAGGTATGCAAACTTATTCACCTTCATAAATGTGATCCAAAAAAATCAACTCCTGCAGAAGAATTCATAGAAAGACTGGAAGAAATGTTTGGCTCAAAGTTCAAGAGAGGCTTCAACACATTACAGAGGAGAACTGTGTCATCTTCAGCTCCTTCTACAGCAAAGAAACAATAGCTTATCTGCATCTGTTACTGTATACTACATTAAATGTATTTGTCTAATAGATTTCCTAGACTCTAAGAGCCAGCTCATTATTTCTTTACAGAAACAAGACACCAGAATTTTTCTGAATTGGACACACTACATCTGCTTCCTTTCCACACTATTTCTCTAGCAACATCATATATGTCTTGATTTTTAACTTTTTTCACAATTTTTTTTTTTTCAAAAAACTCCCAAGGTTGTCTGATAGTGCTTCTAGGAGCTTCTAGGAGCTCCAGAAGTAACAATTTTCTGAATGCTTCTCCCAATAGCTTTTCATTTGAAGCACTGATCTTTCTAGAAGGAGCAACTTGTTCCTTTCCTGTCCAGGTTAAATGAAGCACACTGCCACTCACTCACAGCACATCCAGTCAAGACAGTCAAAATTGTATGACATACCTTAAGATAAACTCCTGTCTTGGTTTTGCTATTACTTAAACTGTAATCAAAGAAAAAGATGTCAGTTTGAAGAACCAAAGACTGGCAAGTAGCATTAATAATACAATCTACTTGCAAATAGATAAAAAGCTGTGTTTGTAGTATGTGATTTTTGCCAACCCTTATTCCTCATCCACTAAAATGCAGAATTACAAATATGGCAATATGTAATAATGACAAACATAAGATAATGCAGTACTAGCTTAAGAATAAGCACCATATTTTACTGTAATAGTGCCTTCCCATGGTCGTTTATGTTGTAGAGGCAGGGACATTGTCTTCCTGCGAAGATTATTTGGCAGAACTTTAAACAAACTTACTTCTGTTTAAGGGGATCACAAACTACTCTATGTGCTGGCCAGTCTTTTTTCTGACAATCTGCAGAGCAATAGTATGTTTGCAGACACTGTGAGCATCTGAGCTTTCCTAAAACCAAAAGAAAAGACAAGAGAAGTCTGAGCAAAACACATTTTGGAAGGAACAACAGCTGTTTAAATAACTGCTTTACAAAACAGCTCCCCTGCAATTCTAAGCACATACAAATAGGTATTTGTATTGACATACAGCTATCAGACCTTGCTGCCCAAATATCCCAAATTCCTTCTATATTTAAGGGGAAAAACCCACCACTTTTGATAAAGAAATGCTCTCTTCTGCTTGTCAGTTCTGTTACTCCAACTATGTTCTACACTTGTGCCTGAGAGTTAAAAATATTTACCCATTTAAAGACATTTCTGAGCAAACCTGATCTGGTTTCACTGATAGATGTACTGTGTGTCACAGGCTACAGGACTGCAGGCACTTACCAAACAGACCACAGCGATGGCAAGTGCCCCCTTTAGGGGGTGGTACTAACAAACTCAAGAAACTCTTATCATAGCAAATAGAAAAAGCACTCTTAGAGGAACATTGCAATTTCTTTGGCTTCCCATTAATCCAATTAGAACGTGACACCTGTGGAAGAAAAACCTGAAGTCATTCTTACAGGAAAAAAACCTCCCCATTAGGGTAGAAATATTCTAATATACAAAAACATGACAACAAAAGGAGAAAAAACTTCTAAGTTCTAGAAAGAGAAATACATGCTGATAGTTCCTGCTACCTAGAAATGCTCAGAATACTTGGGGCAACTATAAAGTGAAATAACTCACAGTATTTCCTTTATCAGCTGCAGCTATGCAGTTCTCTCTACCAGTTTTGTCTTCCATAGAACTTCCTAGAAGCAGAAGTATTTGCAAAGGGATCTGATTAACAACACCAACACATGGCTATGTTATGGAATAATTGCAGGAAGAAACAAGGCTCTTGGCTACTCCTACTATTCTGCCAGCCCATTTGAGTGAATGGAGATGCTTGGACACACTCTGGAAGTCACTTGTTTTTGTTCTGATACCACGTTTACTCAATCACGCAATCAGTGGTATTATTAAAACAACAGTTTCACCTTCTGTGCTTATCACTCAATACTGAGAAACAAAACACTCTGACACGAGATTCTGACTTTCCAGTGAGTGCCTTATAAACCTTGTGGTCTTTGCTGTGAGTTTTTCTTTACCAAACAACTCTTAGAAGACTTTCAACTAAGCCTGCATATCAATACAGCAGGAACTCTGTTTTTATAAGTGGGCAACTCATCCACCTACAAAGAATTTGTTTCTGTGCTAGGCTACGTAATGCCCTCAAATCTTGTTCCAGTCTGGCAGGCCTGTCCAAGGTCTCCACTGAGACAACATAAAGCTTACACAGCCTTTTTTCCCACTTGGAAGCAAGTAAATCATGTAAACTCTGCCTGAACTAAAACCCTTGCCTAACATGAAACCAAATTTCATGAACTCTCCAGACCCAAAATGTTTGCACATAAAGCTAGTTCAGGTCTCCCAAATGAAGCCTTTCCTTCTCCCCAGCTTGGAGTAAGAGAACATGGATCAGACAGTACTGAGGCAGTTAAGAGACAAGAAGCATTGCTGAAGGAACTCCAGCTCCCATGTATCGCTCCAAATTCCCTGACACCTCAATTATCCTGGTGGGTTTTTCAGTTTCTGAGGCATTTCAGCAGGCACAAGTTTGGATAATTAGGAATTATATTTACAAGCCATACTCATAGTCATGATGTGTATCAATAATAAATCATATACACAATCACAGAAGAATAAAGTCAAGATCTCTGTCAAGCTTAGGACAAAGTCTCTCTTATTCCACTTGTGCTGTTGTTAAAACTTTCTGTACTGCTTCTACATTTGTCAAAAATACGCTGTATTGTTTGCTTACAAAATATTGGATTTTGTTAAGTATTTCAGAAACTCAGCCTCAAAACTCAAAGCTTTTTAACAGTAAGTTTGTACCTGTGACCCAGTTGCTTAAATCTGCATCTGCAACTTCATTATGTTGACGATTAAGTGGTTCTGCCATCATGTAAAGGTTGACATTAGAGTATGACCAAAGGTGGCTGTGGGCCAGGTAACTGCAAAAGCATGGATTTAAAGATTAATTCAGGCAGGCACACAAATTAAAGTATTTTTGGGTCATATTCTGAAGATATATTTAAGCATTCATTCTGTAAGGCTAATTTCTCTACAATCTATTACTTTTGTTTGCACAGCAAAACACTTTCTGCACTAAGGAACTCAACAATTAATACTGCAGATTAAATGATGAAAATTCCTTTAGAAGAGGAACACACTGACAAATAGGAGCAGCCATCAACACCTGCACATGAAGCTCACTGTGTGTCTGGAGGAGACCTCGCTGTACTTTTGTTAAAAAAATCAGTAGTAATAAAAAGCAGAGGCTGCATTCCTGGGTTGCTTATACCCGGGAGCCTGAGGGGAACCACTGCCCGAAGAGTGGCTGCCTGAGGGGAAGCAAAGCCCTGGGCTCTGCCGAAATGCATTTTCAGCACCTGCTTTCTAAATGCTAAGAAGCAATATAATTGTTTTAAATTAAAAATACAGGCAAAAACAAACTAAAATGAACCTGCGAATAAAGCAGAGTAGTCTTCTAAGTGACACTGCAAACTAACTCCACCAGAAATGTGCTTTCAACAACCTCAATTAAAGAGGTGTTATTAAAATTAACTGATTCTAAAGTGATTTTTAAGTGATTAAAATTAAGTGATTTTAAGTAACTCAGAATAAAATTAGACAACCCCGTCCCACGGCCTGCACCCAACCCTGCCACCTCCGGCCTCTCTCCCCTCAGCAAAGCGCTCACCCCCGGGCCGTCTCCGGCTTCTTTCTCGGGGGAAAGCGAAGCGCCCACCCCCTGTCCGCCGCCCCTGCCCCTCTCGCCCCTCAGAGCAGCGCTCACCCCGGGCCGCCCCTGCCCCTCTCGCCCCTCAGAGCAGCGCTCACCCCGAGCCGCCGCCCCGCCGTCGGCGCTGCCCCACGCGGGAAGCAGGGCCGGGCGCGCACTCGAGGACCGTCGGCGGGATAGAGGAAGCAGCGGCCCCCGCAGGCCAGCGCCGTCTCCAGGCGCTCCGGCGGGTCCGCGCCGCTCGTTCCGCCCCGCCCAGGCGGGACCCGGTGCTCAGGGGCGGAGCGGGGCATGTGCTGCCCGGCCGCTCGCAGCCCGCGGTGCGGCCATCGCGGCCAGGGAGGCGCGCCCTGAGGAGCTTCCACTAGTCCGGGTTATTCTAAACCCCATTCAATCTGGATTTGAACATTTTCAGGGATAGGGCATGGGGCATCCACACCTTCTCTAGGTAACCTTTTGTCAGGGCCTCACTACGCGCAGAGCAAAGCATTTTTTCCCAATACCTAATCTAAACCCATCCTCTCTCAGTTTGAAGCCGTTCCCCCTTGTGCAGTCACTACATGCCCTTGTAAAAAGTCCCTCTTCAGCTCTCTTATACCTTTAGGTACTGGAAGGTGCTCTGAGGTCTTCCCGGAGGCTTCTCCAGGATGAACAGCCCCAGTTCCCAGCCTGAGCTCATAGCAGAGGTGCTCCAGGCCTCTGAGCGTCTTTCGGGACATAACTACCCATGGTTGAACCAGTAACCACAATTTGTTTCCTACAAATTCAGAAAATGGCTGTGAGAGCTATGCAAAAATCTGAAATTTGATACATAAAATTGATGCATTTGTATTTTAAAAGTATTTGAATTTTGCCCTGCGTCTGAGAAGACATATATATTTTCATTTTCCTTTGTACTTTTCCCTCTTTCTTTTCTATACAAGGTGTTTTTCCCTGTTCTTCAACTTTTGTCTCCCACCTTCATGTCTCTATCTTCATGGGAAAATATACTTCATCCTCAAGACTGCTGCAGTTTTATGCTACTCCTCAGACATGATCTCAGATGTTCTCAGTGCTGTGCAATTAAGCTTTCACCAAAAAATAAATTAATCTGATCTATTTTAGTGCCTACATTGTTGTACTTATTATTAAAGTGTATAAAATCAGTGATGGATTTTATTGTTACATGTTCTGTACAGCAGGGGAATAATTATCTCTGTTCACAGAGAAGTAGCTGAAGCACAGCTATTTTGCCTTAAGTCATTTGGCATCTGGCTGTGACAGCGTTTCAGTCTAAATTACCTGTATTTAAGTCTAGGATCCTGTCTGCCAAACTAAGCATTCTCAAAAGAAAAGTGAACAACACACCTGATAGCTGCTGAGTTTTCTCTCAGCGGTTTAGATACCGCCTACTAAAGTCAGAGGAAAGACTCCTCCTGCCTTACATGAACCTCCAGCCCCCAGCTCCAGCCTGAGCAAAGCTGAGTGGATCAGAGGCTGCTCTTGCAACAAGAAGGAAAATTAGGTAGGAATTGGTGGGATTTCAAGAAACCCACATGCCAAGTTGCTCAGCATTGCATGTCAGAGTAGGCACACCTGTATGTGGGAGACTGGGGGATTGTGGGATTGTGAAATGCAGGAATCATACAGCCTTCATCATCTCCCTGCCCCTTGTTCCTCTGTCCCTAAGATCAGCCTAGTAATCCTCATGCCTAGGAAGAACTAATACCAGTAAGGCACTAAGAAATACTCCTCTGTCATTCGAACCTCTCTCAAAAAAAAAATTAGGCTTCCTTGTAGCTTAAAACATCTAGACAAGATGACCCAGCACCATGTCCAGTTGAATCTTAAAATTGTCCAGCCATTGGGGAATCCACCACTTCCTTGGGGAGATTATTCCAAAGCCTGTTTTTTCTTATTGTGAAACATTTTACTCCTGTGTCTAATAGGAATCTTTCCAGAAGTGATTTGTGTCCATTACCCTTTGTCTTTACCATGGGAATCCATGTAAAAAAAGAATTTCCATCTTTTTTGTATGCACTCTTTAAATACTAGAATGTGGTGATAAAGCCTCCCCTGAGCCTTCTCTACTGACAGCTGAGCAATCCCATTTCTCTCAGCTGTTCTTTCCATGCCAAACTTCTGAAACCTTGATGTCCTTTATGGCTCTTCGCTGGTGCCTCTCCAGCCTGTCCCCATCTCTGTTATGTAGCAGGGACCAAAAGTGAATGCAGCATTTCAGGTGTAGCCTGGCAAGCACTGAGTGGGGCAAATACTTCTTTATCTGTGCTGGTGATGCCCTTGTTGATGCAGCCCAGCATCCTGTTGGCTTTCTTTGCTGCAGCAGCATCCTGTTCACTCAGGGTGAGCTGCTTGTCCACCAGGAACCCCAGATCGTTTACACAGTGCTGCTCCTCAGATGGGTAGATACCAGCCTTTGCTGCACTTCTGGATTATGTTGTACAAGGTACAAGACATTACACTTGACCTTGCTGAACTTTATGATGTTCTTGTTGGCTCTCTGCCAGCCTGTCCAGGTCTCCCTGCAGGGTAACTGAGTGTCTGTCAGAGGTAACTGAGGAGAATGCTCTTAGCACGGTGGCTGATCAGGAGCGACATCCCAGGAGCTGCACGAGGCTGGTGTGACTGGCCTGCAATTGTTAGAAAGAGCTTGAGCTTACCTGCATGTAGGTTCTGTAATAACTGTACCAGTGTGTCACTAGCTCCAGGATCTAAATGCCTAGGAACCAGCTGAGACACCAGTGTGCTACATGCTGAAAAAGGACAGTCCAAGCAACATAAAATGAACAGAATTTTTCCCAAATGTAACTTGCTTAGAGCATTTGAGTGATCATAGTCACACTTGGGATTTGCCATGTATAGATCAGATGTGATGGTGGTGGCAAGCAGCTTCAGCAGAAATGCTGTCCTCACCTGACACGTGGAGGGAAGATGGGGCTTTGTGAATGGTGCTCCTTGAACACCCCTGGCAAACTGTGCTGGCTCAGAATAAAATAGTTACACAATGAAAACAATTCCCAAATGAAGAAAATAATAACTCTTTGTGTAGTTTTGTCATGATGTGAAATGCAGGAATCAATTCAGCCTGCAGTAATTACATTCCAACAGACCAGTCCTCTGACAAATGCAGAAGATGGGAATTGAGCAAGCTGGACTCTGCTGCCAGCTCCTCCTCGGCAGTGCCAGACATGGTCCTTTGACACCGGTGGTCTCAGAGGAGTGTGGGGTATCACTCAGCACATCTGCTGTTTAAGCCACCTCATTGTTCTCCCTTAAAGTGGAGTTGCTAACACTTTAGCTGAAGGAGAAAAAAATAGCTTTGTAAGCCCTTTCAGTGGGCAAAGTTATAGAAATACTCTGGGTGAGTAACAAATGTCATCTGTAAACTGAGCAATCAGATGAACATTTCCTTTCCTTTTTCTTATATAATAAAGCATAAGCCAAAAGCCAGAAGTACAACCTTTTGAATATGTGGGCCAAATTCTGCTTCTGCCTCTGCAATGCAGAGCTTGTCTGCAGCAGACAAATCTGTTGTGTAGGACTGTCTGTCTTTCAGATGGTAAATTCTCTCAGGAATTGTTTTCCTCAGCATTTGTACATGCCAAATAAGAGCTATGGCTGGCTAATTAAGAGGTACAGTAATTAATTTTGATTTAACACCATGCAAGTGGTTTGGGGAAGGACTCTCTCTGTGACCTGTCATTGTCATTCTCTAAGTATCTGTGGCTGCCTCCTGGGGATAAGATACTCTTCACATGAAAATGGGGCTTAAGCACAGGTATTATAAGAGTCAGAACTGTGAGCATCAGTTCTAGGACTGAAGCTGTGGGCAGTCTATTCCTTTTCTTTGCCTTTAAGGAAGAACTGCACTAACCAGGCTCTATTTTCTTAACCTGATTTTAATCCTTCTCTAAAAAAAGCCCAGAATAAAAGGCAAACATCAGATTAAATTCTGCCAGGTCTGTTGGAACACACTAAACACATACAGGTAACATCAGTGGGACTGCAGACAAAGTGTACAGCAAGGTAAAAGCACAAATCTTAAACAGACTGGGGCCAGAGTATACTGATGTCTCTACAGTTGTCTTTAAACATCTAGAAGACCAAATAAGAAAAGAAGCATTTGGGCACTGAAGTGACTGTGTTACAGAGCAGCAGTGTGACCTTTGCAGCTCAGCTGCAGAACAGCAGCAGTAGTGGCAAAGAGCCCTTTCTGAAAGCAGAGCTTAGACTTGTGCTGCATGGCAATTAGCAAGTGAGTGTTGCATGGCACTGCTTTCTGAAAAGAGACAATTTTTACTTATCTCTGTTCCACATCTGATTTTTTATGTATTTTTAGAAAGATGGAATGCACAGTGTAATTTGAGCAGAGCAAGGGCTAGACACTTGCCTTTAAAGTGTTATTTGGAGGTTTAATTTGAGGGCATGAGTGCTCTCTGCAACCTACTTCCATTTGTCTTTTCAAATTAATGTTTTTAAAGACATATGACTGACTCCTTTGCTGCTTAGAGGTGATGGCTAGGACATTGCTTAATTACCTGAAGCAGTATTATCTTTCCCAGAATAATGGACACTGAAAAATTTATAGTTATGATGGCACTGAAAGGTTTACAGATTGATTTTTTTTCTAAGATCCCACTGTTGTTTTTAAGGATCAGTTAAAATGTTTTGTCCTGGTTTTGGCTGGGATAGAGTTAATTTTCTTCCTAGTAGCTGGTACTGAGCCGTGCTTTGCATTTAGGATGGATTTAGAATAATGTTGATAACACACTAATGTTTTTAGTTGTTTCTAAATAGTGTTTACACTATTTGCAAGGACCTTTCAGCTTCTCATACCCTGCCAGCAAGAAGCTGGGGTGGGAGGTGGGGAGGAAACACAGCTGGGACAGCTGATCCCAGCTGGCCAAAGATTATTCCATACCAAATGGCATCATCCTCAGGACATAAACTGAGGAATAGCTGACCATGGTTCAGTTTGGGAACTGTCTGGGCATCAGTCAGTAAGTGGTAAAAAATTGCATTGTGTATCACTGGGTTTGTATACATTATCATGATTATTATTTTATTTTCTGTCACATTAAACTGTCTTTATCTTGACCCACAAGTTTGAGTCTTCCATTTCTCTCTCTTGCCCTGCTGGAGAGGGGAATGAGCCAGCAGCTTTGTGGGGCATAGTTGTCGGCTGGGGTTAAACAGCAGGTTTTCAAGTAGCATTTTCTAGGACCCCCAAATTTGCAGTTGCAGCTCTAAAATTCCAAATATCTAGAAAGAATATGGAGAAAAAGAACTTGCTCTGAAATAATTCTCTCAATTAATGTTTGTAAGTGAAGTTATGCAGCACATTCTACTTTGAAGGTCATCCATGATACAAACTGAAGAAATCATCACTGCATCATTGGGTAGGTGATGTTTTCATGCATGTAGGTATGTGTATGCTTTTATCCATATATAAAAATAAATTAGTCAAAATAAAGCAACAATCTGATCTAACATTAAAGTTAGCCTTGCTATGAGTAGGGGATTGGACTAGATAATTTACTGAGGTCCCTTCCAACCTGAATTATTCAGTAATTCTAACTTGCTTTTCTATTGTTATGTTTAAGATGTTAGTTCAGGAGAGATGCCAATGCTCATTTTAGCTGAGCTGCTTTAGCAAATACAACTGCTTTCACTTAGCAGCTTGTCTGCTAAGGTATTTTTTCAATTTCTTTTTTATTAAATAAAATGTGCCGTGCTCCGGATTCCAAAAAGCTTTGTGTTCCACTGAAAAACTGCTGATCCCAGCATTGAAATGTAGTCCAGATTTTTGATGCCCAGCAAAATTTTCACTTTTTTTTTTTTTTTTTAATCCAATCAGAATGAAGTCCCAGCAGGTGCTAAGTGCTAAGTGAAGCTGTTTATTAACATTACTGGATTGACTCTTGCATGGCATGTGGGCGCAGAAGGTTTGACATAATGTGCAAGGTTTGGTTCTGGAGAATGAGATGTGGTTTACTTAAGAGAGAAGATTCTATTTGTCATTACTTGTGCACTGGATCTTGCAAAAAGGAGAGGCATCTTCATAACCATCTCTCTGAAAACTGCTGCGGTGAAGAATCCCTCCTGTAAGGCAGCTGCTCAGGGCTGTGGGCTTGGATAGTGCCATGGAATGTCTGACACGAGATCCCTTCTTAACATAAACACGTTTAAATAAGAAGAGAAAAAAAAACTCATCCAGACTGAAACAATTTATAGACGCATGCCTGAAATTGTCTTGTGTGAAATCACAGAATTAATTAGCTTGGAAAACACTTCTGAGATCATCGAGTCCAGCCTATGACCTAACACCGAGTGCCACGTCCAGGCTCTCCTCAAACACCTCAGGGACCGTGACTCCACCACCTCCCTGGGCCGTCCGTTCCAGTGTCTGATCGCCCTTCTCGTGAAGAAATTCTTCCTAATGTCCACCCTAAACGTCCGCTGGCGCAGAGTGCACTAGTACCGCAGCATCATGTCCTACATCCAGCCGCTCGGAGCTTTTAGCACCGTCAGTGGCTCGCGGGCTTTCGGCGGCGCGGGTGGGACCGCGGCAGCACGAGGGCGAGGGAAGGCGGCGAGACGGGTCCCGCGTCGCCTGCTGGTCCCGGTGGCTGCCACGATCGGCCCCGGCCCACACCGAGCAGCACCGCAGGGCCCGCAAGCACCGCGGCCCCGCGGGGCTGGGCCGGCCCCGCCGCCCGGGGCTGTCCCGAGCCCGCCCCTCCGCCGCCGGGGCCCGCCCGCCGCCGCCATCTTTGTTGATGTGTCAGCGCGCCGGGCCGGGCTGCCGGCGGGGAGTGGGACCGCGCTGCGCCCGCCATGGCCGCGCTGCCGCCGCTCCTGCCGCCCGAGTAGCGACCGGGTGAGGGTCGAGCCGCAGCAAGGGCGGGCGGGTGAATGGGTGGGTGGATGGATGCTCGGAACCGGCGCCTTGGCACTGCTAGCGTCCCCCAGCCGCGGGCACTGCCGGGCTCCTCGAGGGACCGGCGCGGAGAGGCCGAGGGCGCCGGCGCTGGACGGGACGGGACGGGACGGGCGCTGCCCGGCGGGCGCGGGAGGGGCCGCGGGGCCGCTGATCCACTTCACTGTCAGCGGGAGATAAACGCTGGGGGACGCGGGGGCGGGGGAAGGACGGGCGGGAGGCAGAATTCCCCCGGTGGCGAGGGGCTGTCCCTGTGCAGGTGGGGGCGCTGGGCTGGCAGGGTCCCGCCAGCGCCGTGGGCGAGGCGCAGGAGGAGGGAGCGAGGTGACGGCAGGGCCGGGCTGAGGTCCTGCCATAGCAGCACCTTCAGGTCAGGACCTCCGAGCGGGTAGCGCTGGCTCCTGTGCTGGCTCGCAGTCTCTTTGTTTCTGTACAGCTTTCTTTTCCGTGGTGTTAATTACGTTGTGCTGTTTCATTGACTGCGTGTTGATTTTCTGTATGGGTAAATAATTAGATAACAAAGCCCAGCAGCTGTTATGAAGGTTATTTTCTAGAGCCGGCTGCGGTGTTGCGGTAGGGTACGTGTCCTTGTTTTTGCAGATTTGTAAAAGCTGCCTGTCCTTATAGGTTTGAAAGAAGGACTTCAGCAAAATGATTATGATGTAGGCTTGCAGATTTTGGCTCTTGTCCCAGAAAATAGTCTGCACAGGTGAGTCTGGTACATGTGTACTTCCAACGAGACTCCCTGCAGACCAAAAGAGTGTTTCTTAGGGAATTGAAATGTGTGAAGATGACAAGTATGGCATTCCAGCTTCAGTGCTGCTTTGCTTTATCTTCTTGTAGAACTGCTTTTCAGAAGTTAAAATGTTGCAAGCAGAATACACTAAAAATCCAGGTATGGCACCTATGTCAGTATGTTTTGTTGTATAAGGAAATGATTGAAACCGTGAGCCACAGCTGTGTTTCTCTGTGAGCAAGGAAATGTAGTCACTGGCTGCAGTAAATGCTTATGTTGCACTTGACTTTAGGGAGGAGATGGTTAAGCTCTGGAGATATGAGAAACTGAAAGTATGAAGATGTTTCAGGAGGCTGTTAGACGACATTTCAAATGTCATTTGTTTTATTTAAAAATAAGAACTAGTTCTATATTGCCTTGAGCTCTTTCTGAAAATCGTCAATCATCTGTTCTTGTCTGGTTTTAAAACGGTGTTTTTCTGTCATTTTATAAGACTTGATTTGGAGTTGTTGAG